CCTGCCTTTCTGCAGAGCTGGTAAAGAGAGGCACATGGACCGTATCTGCCCCAGCTCCAGCTCCAGCTCCAGCCATGGGAGCACACTTTCATTCTTGCCTCTGCACCTTTATGTATGCGGGTCTTTTTGTCAGGACATTCCTTCCTTTTATGATTTGTGTTCTTTGAGTGTCTCATCCCCACTCTCACTGTGACACTGGCTCTTCTGGGAACTATCCCCAGACCTCTGGGGTCAGGAGTCCTGCTCTTCCCTCTCATGGCCTCAGTCTTACCACGCGTCCTTTCCTCGCCTACCCTGGTTGTTTTTCGGCATCATCTTGCAGGCTATCATAGTCTTGCAGCCAGGACTGCTTTGTGTTCATTATCCCATCCACGACGCCTAGTATGGTGAACATAGAAGACCAAGTATTTCAGAAGAAATTAATAAACATACTGTTTCTATGTATTTTTACTGTCAGATCCTTGCGCATCATTACTTAAACAGTACAATGGGACACATACCTGTGAAAAGCCATGCTATAGAACGCAGATACAACTTGGTCATGGGTGTCGCTTCGGACTGCTTGTCACCATGTAGTAATGACCGGTCTGCGTTAGTCATGGCAGATGATGTCCCGTGGGGCTACTTGGACGACATTGCAGGAAAAGCAGTACTTGCAACACCCCGAGTAGCATGGGTGAGCCTTCTGGACAGGGTGGTGCCTGTGCACACTCCCAAGGAGAGGGGCCTCCGGGCCTCCAGGAGTCTGGCTAGGAAGACTGCTGAGAGTGGACACAGTCTCTCCTGAGGCGATGCATGCAGGGAAGGAGACCACAGCTCGGGTGTGGAGGCAGAAGGGAGAGCAGAGCAGGTCTTGGTCCTCAGAAAATCATCTCTTTCTTTAAAGTTCCATTCTGAGGTCGATGTGCATTTAAAAGTACAGTGGAGGCTACCCAGCAGCTTGAAGAACATGCAGGGCATGTATGTGTCCCAGATCTCAACAGGATGGAGAACTGGAGGAGGGGGAATTGCAGCATGAAAACGGTCCATCGGGGGTGCGTTCTTTCTCTCTCTTCCTCTCTCATTGTGTCTCTCTGAGACACATGTGCCTTCTGGCAATTAAAAAAAAAAGAGAGAGAGAGAGAGAGAAAGGTGCCATGAGGAAAAAGAAAGTAAACTTGAACTTGGAGCTCCGTACAGCCCCGTAAGTTCCCGCTCCTTCATACATGGAGATGTGCCTGGCAGGAAGTGCTCTGCCACAGGCAGAGAAGGTCCTGTCACTGGCTTCTCTGAGACAGAATTCAAGGTGACTCCATGGGACAATGGCTCTAAATACGGGCCGATCGCCCTCGTTCTGCTTTGTCTGGGGACTGACGATGACAGCTCTGCAGCTACATTTTTGCTGTCGCACGTGTGGTTAGGCACCTCTCAGCGGCAACCTGTGCTGGGGACCAGGCATGGGCCATGGCCGCCATGGACAGGTGGATGTGCACTGGGCATGGTGCTTCTGTGGGCGTGCAGAAGGTGCAGGACAGGATGGACACACAGCCCAAGGGCCTTGAGGGGCAGGTGCCAGGAGACTGTGCTTATTCACCTTCGTGTTAACACAGGGCAAGCCCAGACGTCCCTGTGGCTCTGCTGTCTCCAGTTGGTGACAGTAAAGGTCTGCACGCCCCCTTGTAACTCTTTGGACATTTTAAGCCTGTGGTCTCTGCCACCTCTTTGGTCAATGAGTCACTGTCTTCCTCTGTTCTGCGAAGCAGTCTCCTCAGCAGACTGAGTCACCTCTGAGGGTCCCCTGTCCTTGTACTGGGACCCAGTGCAGACTCCGGTGTGTTGGCCTCTGAGGGCCGGAGGGACCAGCAACCGGAGCGTCTGTCCTGTTCCACATTGCAGCCAGGGCCAGCTCCCGATGCCCACGGCTTCCAGTTTCCGCACATGCAGACATGAGGCCATCTGCTCCTTTCAAGCACACTGGTCTCTGCAGGACCCCGGGAAGCAGCAGGCATGCATGTTCTTAGGCGAAGGGGTGGACAGTGTCCCTCTCCCGTACTGTCATGATTCGTCTGACTCTGCCTGATGCGTCTGGCCTCCTCAGCCCTGCTTCTGGTGGCTGTTCTGATATGTGTGGGTCTGTCGCCTCTCTCAGGCCGCCCTGGTGGCCACATGTCCCCATCCATTCCCCTGAGTGCAGGTGCGCCTTCCTCAGTACTTGTCCGTGGCAGCGCCACGCTCTGGGGCTGAGTGGGCAAAAGCCAGCTGGTCCAACAGCACCTGGTGCTGGGACTCATCGCCCTGTCTGTACATTCTCAACGGAGCCCAGCGAGTGTGGCACTCTGAGGCAGTATCCTCAGTCCTGAGGTGCCTGAGCCATCGCGGGATTGACCTCCAGGTGGGTGTGGCTCCTGGGCCCGAGACCTTTGCCACTACGTGAGCCACGTGGCAGGCTCGGTTCACGCTTCGGTGTCCAGAGAGAGCTGCTGGAGCTGCCTCGTCTCCTCGTGGCTCTGGGCAGTGAGGAGGTCACTGCTGCGCGCTGGACCCGGGTCTCTGCAAAGGCTTTGAGGAGGTGCAGGCAGCGCAAGGGTGGGGCCGCGCGGGGCAGCTCTCAGCTGTTGCTGAGACGGGGTAATACTGGCCAGCCCCATGGCTGCCAGGTCTAACGGTGGGTCTGCAGGGCCAGGGCCGCTGTTGCCTCCCCTAGGATGAGAACACCTCGTTTAGGTGGGATCCGCCAACTCCACTGCGTCTTCACTGAGAGCAACACTCACTCTCGTTGCCCCGCACACCCCGTGACTGGCCTCCGTGTTCCCTTCTACAGCACGCGTGCGGGCCGAGCAGAGGGCGTGTGTACAGTCGGCGCTTCGCGTTATTCGGGACCTTCACGCTGGACTCCACATACGGCCTCTACAGAGGCATGTCATCAGTCACCGTGGCCTTCTCGGTACGGCCGACCTGGTGACAGTGCAGGCTGGGACAACCAGACCTGGCTGGGGTGTCTTGGAGGCGTGTCTGGTTAAGTGTTAGCGGTGAACGGCTTCCAGGGGATGGTTTGCTGCAGTTCAGTGGCAGGTGCGATTCAGGGTGGCTGCAGGTCTTACCACCTGGGACGGTGTTCCTGTGCAAACCTGGATGACGGTGTCCTCGGAGGGGTTTCGGGGTGACAGGGAGGAGTAGAGACATGCCTACCAGCTCTGGGGTTGGAGCGCTCACTCGCCCCGCTCCGTCCTCACTACCCAAGAGCACGAGAAGTGAACGCTCTCCTCACATGCCTGACTTTTCGTTGAACCTCATGATTAGCAGATCTGTGAAAGAAGAGCCCATGTGCGGGGCAGGGGCGGGCGACTTCAGTTTCCTCTGCCTTTTATTATGCCATGCTCTGAGTTTTGAGAAGCTGTTAGCTCCCATGTCAACGTCTACGCGACAAGGCAAATACAGTGACCGTAAAATGAAAACCGGGGTTAATCGCCCAGATGTTCTGAAGGTCTGACGTCTGTAGAGATCCCACATGGAGGTCTGCCTGGCTTTCATGAAGTATCTTTGCAGAGCTGACCCCGAGGGTACGCTCGTAATTACTCCTGCGTTCCTGAGAATGCGGGTGAAATTTAAGTTGGGTTGAATTTTAAACGTGCTAAGAATGTTGTTTGAAGACCCCTGCGGTTAACTTACTTTCAAAGCAAATAAGCATTTCATAAGGAATAATCACTATTCATTATATATATATATACACACATATATATAAATTTCTTTATGTCTGTAGAAATGGAGTTTTTTTTTTTTTTTTGAGAGGTTTTTGCTATAGGGCGCGTGTGCTCGCCAGACAGACAGAGAGACAGAGAGACAGAAAGCGAGAAATCACCCCCCAGGGGGATGGTCACACCGCAATCCCTTCTCCTCCATTCTCCTCTCGGGATCTTGGGCACGCACACACACGTGCCTGGTGGGAGTTTTAAGCCACCGGGTCCGGGCCGCGAACTGCGGTCAACTACGTGGGAGTCCAGCGACATAGCCATTACGCTAACTGCTGGTTCCCTGTAGAAATGGAGTTTTAAAGCTCCTTGTGGATGTTTTGGAATTACTTTGACTATTTCCTCACATTCCTTTAACATTTCCTCACTTACTTCACGACAGTCACTTTGATAGTCGGCCCTGATGGCCGCACAGTAAAGCTCCTTGTGGATGTTTTGGAATTACTTTGACTATTTCCTCACATTCCTTTAACATTTCCTCACTTTACTTCACAACAGTCACTTTGGTAGTCGGCCCTGACAGCCGCACAGACCTGGGGCCCAGGCTGCTTACCGCGCGGGGCTCAGCATGCTGTGCTCCACCAACGCCACGCAGATGCTAGCTAACCTCGGGCCGGGGCTTTGGGAAAGTATGTACAAGTTAGTTGTGACTCTTCTTTGCTATTTGAGAAAGATGCATTAATTTATTACCACTAACTTCATCATCCGCAATGCCTTTTATGAGTGCAGAGGACAGAGTGCGATTGGCCGCTTAGGTACTTACTCTCTGTAGGCACTGCCCACCCGAACCACATCGGCGTGTGCCGATCCGCTCTAACCAACGAGTCTCTGAAGGCCCGACAGGCCCGCACACGCCACGCTGGGTCTCTGTGGCAGGCCGAGGGTTCAGCCCGGGCCCTCTGTCCCTGCATAGAGCCGGACCCAGCTCAGTGCATCTGAGAGGGTGAGACCCTGGGCTGCGAGTGGTCAAGATGGTACATTGATTCAACAGGCTTCTCCACCAGGATGTGGCCTGTTTTAGTGTGGGTTCTCTGATACACGGAGACGCACACTGTTGCTACGGTAACCACTCTGCTAATTGATCTGTCTTGTTGAACTAAGCTTGAATCAGAACCTTCCTGCGTACCGTGAGACTGAGATCTGAGACGATTTTATAGCCAGTGACTCCTCTCCTTAATACAGCAATTTTCTCTCCTGAATCTTCTTTTTACAGCCTCTGTAATTATTCACTGTGGCCTGTCAGTGGCTAGCCTTCACTGCTACCGTGTTTCTTTCTGTAATTTGTGAATAACGCCAGGCCATGCAGAACGGTTTCACTATCTCTGCAGGGTTAGTGGGGAGTCCTGCACCACCCGCTCCTGCAAACTTCCAGAGCCCCATGTGCAGGGACACCGCCACCGCCCACTCTCGCCCTCTCCTTCCTCTTCCTCTCCCCAGCTGCCTTTGCGTTTCCGCCAGCGTTAACTTCTGAATCTTTTATACATTTTAACACAACAGCGCTCATCCATTTGCCTGAGGATTTTTATACATTTCCTGCCTATCCAGAGACCAGTATTTTCCTGGGGGGCTGCCACTCAGGGAGTGCCTGGGGCAAAGCTGACCGGTTAACGAGAACACATGTCCTGCCGGGGAAGAGTTCCCTCCCGTAGAGGCTAACACAGCTCCTTCAATGACGCCACAAAACTGCCAACGCGGTACACTGAAGCACAACGCTCCCTCTCACCGCCGGCCGATTGAGAGAATCACTTTGTGTCTGACAGAGCGAGTGCCTCCCTTGGACACGGGAGGGTGCTCAGTGGCCCGGGGCAGTGGCTGGGAGCGCAGGGCATCCTGTCCTCTGCACAAATGTCACCCCACCCCCGGAAAGACCAA